TGCCCAGGGGGACAGCTTGAGGCTCTGTCTCAAAAAAAAAAAAAAAAAAAAAAAGATAGAGTTGCTCTTTGTTCTCTCAAGCGGCGGGAAGTCCTTACAAGATGGAGTCGTCCTTTGTTCTCTCAATATCATCCTGCTTTTCAGAGACCTTTGCTAACTAGGGAAACTGTTCATCTGAAATTTTCATTTGAAGAAGTAGCATTTTGTCAAAACATAATTTCTTTCAAAATGCTTGGATTTTTTGCCATATATCACATATAGACTTACTTTTATCTTGCAAAGAAATATTCAAATCTTTTTTTTTTTTTTTTTTGAGACAGAATCTCACCATGTTGCCCTCGGTGGAGTGCTGTGGCATCACACCTCACAGCAACCTCCAACTCTTGGGCTTAAGCAATTCTCTTGCCTTAGCCTCCCAAATAGCTGGGATTACAAGTGCTTGCCACAATGCCTGGCTATTTGTTGTTGTTGTTGTAGTTGTCATTGCTGTTTAGCTGGCCCACACTGGGTTCAAACCCGCCAGCCTGGGTGTATGTGGCCAGCGCCCCATATCATTTTGATTCAACATGATATCACCCAGAAATGCTGCATTCCTATAGAAAGCATCTTTCAATATTCATATTGCTGATTCTGTTCTTCATAAAATTTAACTATCTGTTTTTGCAGAGGTAAAATTTTGACCAATACCTGTCCCTGTGATAGCCAATGCACTTTAGAATGATATGGGAAATCCACACTAAATACCTCATTATTCAACTTTAGCATGTTACAAAACTAAGGAGGCTGTGTTGCATTTGTGTGGATATAATTAACAATACTTATAACTTGTTGCAAGTGTTACTTAAAACTGTAGCTTTAGCACAGAGATTTTGCTGATACAAGATGCAATGAAAACAAACGACAGCATCTGGATCTGTTAATACTTTTTTTAAATCTATGCAATAAACCTTTCATGTTTTCCTGTCCTGGAAGGTGCACCATCTGTACGTACACTCACTAAATCCACCAAATTCAGTCTAACTTCATGACATTTATCTTGAAAGTTGTTGAAGATATTTATCTTCAGTTTGCAAGAGTGCCCAAAGCAAGCAACTCTTCATACAAAGAAAATCTTCTGTTATGACCCAAAAGAAGTATAAAAGCTGTGCCACACCCTCGTATCAGTTGATTCATCCAAAGCAATTGGATAATATATATCTTCCTTTTGAAGTATTGCATGAGGTTGTTCTATTAAGTTGAAGTCTAATTCATGTGGCAAATAAGTTACAGTTCTCCTTGAAAGAGGCAATTGTTTTTACTTTGAAACTTTATTGGGATCTAAGCATCATACAACTTCAACAATGCATTCTTTCATAATTTCTACATCACTGCATGGCTTGCCTTTGTTCCAAAGTATGTAAGCTACTTTGTAAGCTGCTTCAATGGCATTATTTTCAGGTCTTATTGCTGCTTAAAGAATTGTCTTTGCTTTTGCTTTTCCTCTTTAATTTCTGCAATTTAACCTTTTGTGTTTCTCTCTCTAATTTAAAGTATGAGTGGTCCTTATGAGTGTTGCAATGTTGATGAGCATTGAGTTTCTTTAATGTCACAAACAATATCACAAAGCAAGCAAATCATCTTATCTTTAGCAAAAACAAGATAATATTGCATTTTCCAATCCTAATTTTTAAAAAAATTGTTTTCTTCCTTCAGTGTTCTCTTGGTCTTCTTTGATAAGATGGGCTTTTAGCCAGACAGAATTTAAAAATACTGTCAAAATAGTTGTACACTACTCGCAAATTCCGCTTTAGACAGGGCACCATTATCGAAAGCTGATGTAAACTGCTGTATGAACAGTGCGCCATTATCGAAAGCTGATATAAACTGGTGTAATCAATGCCCATAAACTCTCCCCAACCAGCCTCATGTGGCAGTGGCACCAGCCAGGTGAGGGAAATTAAAACTAAATCATGAGTGTAGCAGCTGTCAATTTAGCCCGTATGGCTTATAATGTTCTAATTGTGCTGGTCAACCTGGGAGTCTTATTCTGTTAAAACTTCTTGTATTCTTTCTTATTTTAAACACGTTCATTTTAAAATAAAATAAAAACACAAAGGTGAACAAAATATATTCACAAAAATAAAAGGGTTTGTTCTGTGAAATTTAGAATCAGTCAAAAGGTCACATGTGGCTGTAAGGCTGCAGGCTCCCCACCCCTGCCTTAGAATGTTCTGGCTAAGAGTGCTCTGGTATATCTGGGTCCCTGAGCCATGCCAGAAAATTTATGCTAACAAAGTGATTTATGATGAGGCCTGTTTTTGTTTGTCTGGGACTCTGAGCCATGCTGTATCAGGTTAACTTATAGAGAGAACAAGGACTGAACAGTTGGAGCACTCCATGCCTAATGTACAGACTCCAGTAAAAACCCTGGACACTAAGGCTCAGGTGAGCTTCCTTAGTTAGAAACACTTCATAAATGTTGTCACACAACTTTGCTAGGAGAATTAAGCGCTGTCCATAATACTCTGCTGAGAGATAAAAACTAAGTTTTCCCCTGTTTTTTCCACACTCCAGCCTACAGGCCTGTTTCCTTAGCTGATTTTAATCCATATCTCAGTGCAATGCCAAACAACAAAAAGCCCACAGTATAATAGTTCTTTTGAGTTCTGTGAGTACTACTGGGAAATTATCAAATCTGAGGGTGGCCTGGGGGACACCCGGTACACACCCCCATTGTGGATCAGTTTCCAGGGATTCCAGGCTCTCAGCTGAATCTATCGCCCTATGAGATAAGAAGACTCTCCCTTCCTCTGCACAATCTTCCCTAGGCTTCCAAGTGACCCCAAGACATAGAGGATCCCATTTTAAGCTTCATCCTCTTTGAGTGTGTCTGGTGTGTTGTGCCTTCAGTTTCTGCTCAGTGGCCATTGAGAGCATCCACCAAGTGACACTGTCCACTCTCCCAGGATAAACCCCCCACCCCTCCTCCATCTCTACACCACACAAACAACATGACCACCCACCTCCTCATGTGTGCCCTTGAAGATCCTAAGAAGTTGACAGATAACTGCCAATGTCCCCAGGGAGAGGGGGAGGGGAAAATTTACACCCATTTGAGAAACACCAAATGAGTGTACCCCAGTGTCAGACCTTGACTCCCTCATCTGAGGACACAGGTCAGGAGAACTGGGGCAGCTCTAGCTTTGGCCAGGTGAGTTCTAAGCCTCCAGAAGCCCCAAATTTAGAAAGGCCAGGTGATGTCAAAACTTGATGTGTACTCAATTTTACTAGGGGTGGGGATAGAAGAGGAAAGCTTAGAGATTGGCAGTGATGGTCTCATTGATCCACTTCAGATAATGCCACAGCTTGGTGTATAGGGCAGGCTTTTGTCTCAGAGCACACGGCTTACTGCCCCACGAAGTGATACCTTGAAGTGTTCCATTACAAATGAGTGGACCACCTGAGTCACCCTAAGGGTAGAAGGGAGAGAGATAAAGTGAGAAAGGTCAGCCCTGGTTTCTACCAGCTACAGGGAAAAAGAAAAATATCTCCAGAGCCTGCTCCCAGAAGGGAGGCAGAGATTCTAACTGGGAAGTCCTGGCCAACAGGGGAGACACTTTGGTGTATAGCTCCTGTGCAAGGTACAGGGTCCATGGAGATAGGCCCTGCATGGGTCAGTGGGGGAGGAGCAGGACCATCTGCAGGACCCGCCCCCACCCCACAGGGCTCATCCCAGAGGTCACCTCTCCAGGAAGCTTCTGGGACTAGATCCCCCTCTCCAAAGAGCACTGAAGAGCCACGGAGGACTGTGAGCAGAGATGGGGCAAGGTCATTTCTGAGATTAGAATGACCAGCTGGAGCCAGAAAGGGAATGGAATGAAAGGCAGAGGCTGAGGGCCAGGCACCTGTGGGGAGATGGCCTGGAGCCACCACCCAAACTGCCTCATCCTCATTCTTTCCCTGGCCCCTGTGACCGTCACATCCTGCAGTCTGATCCCCACGTGGAGGCCAGTAGCAGCCTGTGGACACCTGGACTGGCCCTGTCCAGCTTCAATCCAGCACCACTGCAGCTGCCAACTCCTCAGAGGAAAAGTAGCGTCCTCCTATGGCCCAGGAGAGGTCCCACAGGATCAGCCCTGGCTTCCTGCCCAGGCCTCCCCTGGTCCCCACTCTAATCACATGTGGGCCCCTGCTCCTCACATCCTCTACCCCTCTCCCCTTGCCCAATACCTGTTACTCTCTCTGCCCCTCCTGGATGGAGGCTCACCCCTTAGCTGCCTCAGGCATTTGCTTATTCCTACCTTCGAAACAATTTCCCCCACAGTCACACTCTCCCCTGCCCCAGAGCTCCTGACACTTTCCATAGTTTCTGTGTTATATTCCCTGTTCCTGCCTGTGCCATTCACCAGGACAGGGCTCCACAAGGGAGAGGCTGCTCTGTGTGTCCATTGCTGTCTTCTCGGGGTCCAGGGCAGTGCCAGGCATGTAGCCAATACCTCAGGTGTGTGTTGAATGAAGGAATGGGGGAATGAGGCTGTGAGAATCAGATGGTGCCTCCAGGGACCAAGGAAAGGGGCAGGAGGGAGGGAGCTGAAGAACTTGAGGCGGAGGGTGAAGGTGGAGAGCACTGGAGGCAGATGCCAGATCAGCTTTCAGGTCCCTGCCCAGAATCAGGGTCCCTGCTTTCCTTTCCCCTTAAGCTCTTAGGGGCTGGGGTGGCTCACCAAACAGGTGTCTTTGCCACCATTCCAGCTCCCAGCACACAACATGAATTCTGTCACCGCTTCAGTGTACGCTTCTTTACACCTGTCATTGGACAGGAGTATGATATCCACACACTGGAGACTCCTTGGGCGCACGACTGTGGAGCGGGGAAAAAAAAACGACTGTAGTAGGACTTCCCTGGTTCTTGGGCCCCTCATCCCGCAGACCCAGGCATCGGGCTCCAGGCTACACCATCTGACCCAGGCGTACAATTATCTGGGTGAATGCTGCCCCAGCCAGAGGTGTAACAGATACTCCCCACTTCTGGTTCCTGGGTGGGCAGGTCCACAACCTTCACAGCGTCTGTGATATTGGCGGGCTCCGACAGGTGGAGCAGCATGATGTCGTGGCTGCTGTCCTCTGACTTCTCAAGTGTTTTGTGCTTCAGATGGCTGGTGTTGTAGCGCGGGTGTAAGAAGGTCTGATTGATTTTGATCACCTGGGCTGTGTCCTCATCTTCAGACAACGTGTGCCGACCGAGCCAGACCTGACCAGTGTTACCAGTACTGGGAGGGATAGGAGAGAGGACAGTGGGCAAAGGGAGTGAAGGCAGGGGAGCAGGGGGACAGTCCCAAAAGAGAGAAAGAGAAACAGTGAAAAACCCAGCGGGGAGGGGAGATATAGTCAGAGAGAGAGAGTGAGTCAGAAAACAAAGGAGTGTTACAATATGAAAGGCAAATACAGGTACTCAAGAGAAAAGAAAGAGCTCAGAGAGAAGGGAGTGAGAAAGGCAGAGAGGGGACAGTGAGAAAGAGGGGGAGCAAAAAAGAGACCGGATGACAAAGAGAAAAAGCAGGGACAGCAAGAAACAGACACAGGAAGAGGAAGAAGAGAACAGAACAAGGAGAGAAACAGATAAATGACAGAGGGACTCAGGAAGTCAGAGAATGAGGGACAGGGCAGAGAGGAAGCCAGGAGGCAGGGCGTGAGAGGGGAAAGGGGAAGGGGCCTGGGGGGGAGCAGCTGGGGCTGTGCAGGTTCCCCAGAGGGCGGGTGGCCTGGCCCAAAGCCCAAGGTCAAGTTCCCCTTTCCCTCCCAGCACCCTCTCCCCTTCCTAGGTCCTTCTCCTTCCTCCTCCCACAGTGGCCCCACCCAGTCCTGGCTGAAACTGGCCCTCCCTGTCTCCCCTGAGTGGACTGACATGTTTGCAGGGGCTGGGCAAAGTGAGAGGCGCCCCCTCATGCACACAGGTTGGGGACCCCTTAGGCCCATCCTGGGTGAGTGTTCAATAGTGAGGGGGGAGAGGTGGGACAGAGACCCAGGGGGAGAGAGATGGGCATAGAGATGGAAGGTGAGACACATAGTGACAGAGATGACCACAGAGTGACCCAGAGATGGTCAGAGACAGGGGAGATGCAGGGACATGAAGATAGAGTGGGAGACAGAGACCAAAGCACAGTCAGTCAGATAAGGAGAGACACAGAGACTGAGGGACAGACCCAGGCAGCCACAGGAGAGTGGCCAGTCCCTGGGCTGCCTCCCCATGTGACTGGACCAGAACCTCCCCTCTCTCCCTCAGTCCCTCAGCCTCCTGTGGGGCTGCCCCAGGGGAAATGGCCAGCTGCTGCTCCTAAAGGGCGCAGGCACCCCCCTGCCCCAGGTCTCAACTCACTATATGGAGCAATGGGCGGCTGTGAGCACCCACTGGGGGTGCACCAAGATGCCCCCACAGTATGCGAAGCCATGTTGAGTCACACCCACATGCCAGGGTTGGGAATGCCTCTCACACTCCCAGCCTCCCACAATCCGAGACTGGGTCAGGGTCACAGCACCTGTGGGGGGAGGGTGCTGGGTCAGGGGGGTTCCAAGTTGGCAGAAGGGGTAGGAGGCAGGGCTAGGGGAAGGAGCTGTGTTTGGCATGCATTGGGGCAGAGGACGGGGCTGGGGGCCAGAAGATACAGTCAAGGGGGTGCCAGGAAGAGCCTGGAATTCTAGAGCCATCCCTGGGTTTGTAGGTTGGGGGCTGGTGCACAGAGGATCGGGACTGAAGACACAAGACAGCATCTGGAGCAGGGGTGAGAGTCTGGAGCTATGTTATTTGGGGTGACTTAGCGTCTCCGTCTGGGAAAAGGGAAACTGTGGTGGGTCCTGAGTGGATAAGGGCTTTAGAAACCAGGAAGCGCCCCACAGAGGGCTTCAGTTGCTGGCAGAGGTAAGTTTGCAGGGTTTACAGAGTCCCAGGGAGAGGAAACATTTTGGGCCTGGGTTGGGTTTTTCAGGTTTTGGAAAGGATTCAGATTTCAGGAACCAGTTCTGGAAACCCTGGCAGCTATGGCTGTGGGTGCTTGCATTTTTTCCTACAGAAAAGGCTGGGCCTGGAATGAAGGGTCTGGAGCAAAGAAGGAAGGAGGGGTTCTCAGAATCCCACTGCAGATTAGGGGGCCCATTCGTTGTCTCAAGCCTGACTAGGAAGAAGTAGGGGTGGAACCGTGTTTCCTAGGAGCAAGATTGGGAAGCCAGATATCAAGGTCTAGGGCACATGGTTGAATGCTCGGAGCTGAATGGGAAAAGTCAGCAGAATGTGGTAGGAGTCAGGGGCTCAGGAAGCAGCCCAGTGACCAGGGTCTAAGGAATCAATGGCATTGAGAGAGGTCCTTGGAAGATTTGAGCCTCACAAAGGGACACAGAGATGGCCCAGGATCTGCTGCTGTGAGAAAATAGCTGTGAGTAGGAGTTAGCTGGGCAGCAGGAGGAAGTTCTGGAATAAGCAGGAATAGGGATGCTGACAATAGAGAGATGTAGGAAGAGCCTGGCACCCTGGTCTGGGGCAGACTGTGGGCTGGAAGGACAGAGCTGAGGGCTGGGTGGTAAGGTGGGGACTTCAACATAAGAGTTAGGGCCCACACCCCCTCCTGCAGCCCCCCTCCATCTCACCGGTCCACCCCATGGACAGGGTAAGAGAGAAAACCAGGAACAGCATGGTGACAGGTGTCCAGGGGCAGGAGATAACTTGGGCCTGGGGCTCCCTGAGGAGCCCTATAAAGCCTTTACTGCAAGACTCCTCCTCTGCCCTGCTGGCACCCACTGCTGGTCCAGCCCTCCCCATGCCGCTGGAGTGGGGACAACCCCCTCCCACATCCAAAGCTGTGGAAAGGGACAAACAGCTGTCACTGGTTGTTCTGCAGATACTAGATCACCCTGGATACATTCCCAGAGTCTAAGGCCTGATGGAGCAAGGCTGGTAGCTCATGGAGATTTGATTTAGGGGACATAGGCAGATAAAGATGAACAGGAACAAGGGTTGGGACAATCACTGATTTGTAATACAAAATCCCATGTGCCTAAACTCAAGTAAGTTCTTTGCACCCCATACACCCAAGGTGCCCTGAAATACAAGCTGTGACACTTCCTGATGCCTATACCACTCTGAACAAAGATGCTAGACTAGCGGTTCTCAACCTGTGGGTCGTGACCCACAGGAACTGTATTAAAGGGCCGTGGCATTAGGAAAGTTGAGAACCACTGTGCTAGACCTCCATCTTCTCATGTCCTTGAAACAAAAGCCTTGGCATTCAGAACTCTCTATTCCTTGCACTCCTGCATCCAGAATCTATTTCCCTAAATCCTCTCTTCATATAACCTTGTAGTCCCACAGACCCATAACCTAACACCTCCCAAAGCAGAAATGAGTCTCGCAGACCAAGTTCTCTAGCATTTCAAGCTTCAATCTCCTCTACACGATGTGGGGCTCCAATAATCCCCACTCTTTGTTCTCCAAGTCTGTGAACTCTGTGCAGCAAGGATCCCTGTTGACACGCCCTCCCAGGTCAGGAGTGTGTTCATGGCCTTCCTTCAGTAAAAATACTTAGCTATCACGAGCCAAGTTTATGCACTTCAAGATAAGTGTCACTGGCTCAGCACCCTTAACTCAGTGGTTAGGGTGCCGGCCACATACACCAAGGCAGACAGGTTTGAACCCAGCCTGGGCCTGCAAAACAACAATGACAAATGCAACCAAAAAATGGCCAAGCGTTGTGACAGGCACCTGTAGTCCCAGCTACTTGGGAGGCTGAGGCAAGAGAATCACTTGAACCCAAGAGTTTGTGGTTGCTGTGAGCTGTGACTCCACTGCACTCTACCGAGGGTGACACAGTAAGACTCTGTCTCAAAAAAAAAAAAAAATTAAGTGGCATTGAAAAAAATCATAATTTGGGGTCTCAGAGGAGAATCTGGAACCAGACCCCTGCCACCTCCACTACTTATTAGATTCCCCAGATTTCCAACAAGTTGCTTGTTTCAGCTGTTCTGTGAAACCAGAGTAGTTCACGTGGATCCAGCCCCAACTGTGTCTCAAGAATTTGACAAAATCTCCCCCCTTTCCTAGGTGAGGGACCAGATAAATTTTAAGTATAGCGAGGAAGATGGAACAGAACTCCGACACTCACAATCTAAGACCACAAGGAGTAAGGAGACAGGATACCCTCAGCCAGTAGCCTGACCTTCCCGCACATAAATCAAGGACTCAGAACTCTTCCTGTGAGAACTCTCCTGTATCATCCTCATCTCATAATCCTGAAAGAATGTTTGCCTCAGCTTAAGTAAGGACTTCCTGGATCCAGTGTTTCCAATCGTATCCTCATCCCCCTCCGAACTTCAACCCAAACCTAACACAACCCAATCCAACCACATCACACACAACCTCAACAGAACACATCAACGCAACACAACCCAATCCCTATATCTTCCCCAATTACAATCAAACCAAACTTATTCCAGTCCTCACATCCAACATGACCCAATACCTACTTCCAGGTATTCTACTTCTGAAACCAAACCTACCCTCATACCCAATTCAGTCCCCACAGATTTCCCACACAACTCAAACCAAACCTATTTCTACAAAACTCACACCATTCCAACCCTTCCAACATCATCTGTCCCAAAACCAGGCCAAACACTGCCCTACCTCTATCTCTAATACAACTCCAACCTGACCCTTCATTCTAAATGGTGTTCATACTCCATCCTTAAACCTATGCCAAGCACTGTGGCCAAAGGAGACCAAAGACAACCACATCCCAGCTCTCAAACCCACCCAGAGCCCTCCTCCCCTCTCCTGATGGCATCCTCTAGGCCCTGATGGTGTCTCCAGCCTCCAGGCCTGCACACACCAGGGTGTTCATTAGGCACCCTAAGTGTCTTTGTCACATGATGTGTCAGAGATGATGCTGATGTTGTGACAAAGATGATGCAACTCATCTGGCAGACTCACTGGGGAGGACAGTGGACTTGATAGTGGCCATAAGTTCAGACCCCTGTTTCCTCCACCAAGCAGCCCTTGAGATTTTGTGGATGATGACATCTGGCCATTCTCAAGCACCTTTCAATGGTGGTTCCCTATGGTCCTGAGCTCCTGTCCTGAGATGAGGTCCCAGCCTGACATTGTGCAGGTTGCACCTACCAGGGGGCAAATGTGAGCAGCTCCACAGCCTACATGCCTGCATGTGACTGGAGAGTCACCCTGGTTGGACTGGCCACATCAACATTGGTGGTGGTCAATCCGCTCAGAGCACGGCTGCAGGTGATGCATAGAATAGCCCGCAGGCTTCTGGGATGTGGGTACATGCACAGATTGCACTCCCCGGCACATTGTAGTAGAGCAGGGCATGTCCCCTAAAATGGAGAGGGTGGGTAAGTGGAGAGATCAAAGACTGGGCAACTCATGGTCCTCCCATCCTGTGGGAATCAGGAGATCTCATCAAACCCTGGAACCAATGCCTTCAGCACCTGCCCCTCAGGGACCAAGGAGTCTCAAATCACACACACGGGGAACTCGACCTCTCAGGGTCCAGCCCTTCTTTCCTCGGGATACAAGATCCTTAGACCCCCACATCAGTACCTAAGGAGATGGGACCTTTTCAGTCTCCTCCCTCTGCCCTACCCACACCCATCCCTGCTCAGAACCTTGACCTCCAGCTTCTTCCTTCTTCACTCAAACCCAAAAGTTCTGATCCCCAGCCATGCCCTCTCAGAATCTTGAGGACCAACCACCCTTATTCTGGGTTTGGCAGTGGGGTACTGTAGGGGGCTCTACCCAGAGCTCTGCTTAGGCCTGGAGTAACAGGATGTGGCAGACAAAGTGTTTGTGGTGGAATGCTGCTTGTCCTGCAGACAAAGGTAGAAAGCTCAGACTGAATAGCCTTGGGAGATAATTCTCCACGGTTCTCTCATGTTTCTATGCATCTTCTGAGCAAAGGCATTTACGCCTTTTTTTTTTTTTTTTCTGGACTGTCTTTTTCAAGGATGTTTATATAGCAGGCAGTCTTTCAAGATAGCATCTCCCTCAGATCCAGGTTTGCTTACTGTCCTGGATAATAAAGATAAAGTCTTTCTTGCAACAGGTTTGTTTACTGTCCAGGACAATAAACATAATGTGTCCCTCCAGAGCAGGTCTGTTTTCAATCCAGGATAATAAAGATAATATCTCTATCAGGGATAAATCAAGACTGGGCAAGTTTTCAAGCAGCCCCATTATAAGATTGAGGACCCCTAAGGTCAGGTTCCTCAGCAGTGGCACAAATCACTGTGTGCCCAGCATCTGCCTGGACTATTCTGATCACCCCGTAGGATTTGGGGGACAAGGTGAACCAATGTGAACATGAACCTCGTGCTGCCTACTGAGCTGTGAGTAAGAAAGTCCTTTGTCTCTGTACCAGGAGTCTTATGTTTCTTGCTAGTGTTGGCAAGACTATGGCAGGTTAACGTATTTGTTTGTAAATGGGTAAAATGTCAGTTCCTTCAACATTCTTGACAAACATTTAGGCACTGAGGCTGCACCTAGCTAACTGAAGATGGAGGTAGGAGGGGCCCCAGCTGGGTATAGTGGGCAGGTGGGGGTCAGGGAGGGGAAAGGACAATAAGAGAGTACAATAGGACCTGGTCTCATGGAGGACGTCTGAGAAAGCCCCAAAGGCAAAGGTCTGAGTAAGAGGTTAATGAAAGTCCACACCACCCTCTCCTGGGCTGGGACATCAGGCCACAATTAACTTCTCTGCAGGCAGTGACAGAGCATGATCTCTGGTGCCCTGCATCCAGAGTGACCTTGACCTAGTGCCTCCCCCACTTCCCAGCCACAGCCCCTTCCTCTGTCATATGAGGCCAGTAGTGCCCACTTCGCAGGGATGTTGTTTTACATGAGTGCCAAAGGTCATTCCTGACAGACTGTAAGTACTCAGAAAGGCTTACACTTTTAGGGCACTCCCATGGCCAGGCTAATACTTCACACACATGACATTTGATCTCCACAATAACCCTGTAAAGGAGAGTGTGCAGGAGAGAATAACCTTGCTGAAAGAAGTCAGGCATTGGCCTTCAACTCCTGAGAGGTCATCTCTAAGCCTTTACAATATTCAAGTGCCTTTGTTCATCAGGAGGATTGGCTCATAATGGACAATCTGACAGTGTGGTATGTGGTAGGGCATTGGGCCATCCCATGTCACCCAGACTTCTGGAAGAGCTGGATACTAAAGATCACCAATTATGAAGGTGGTTAGTCATGTCTATGTAACTGAGTCTCAATAAAATCTGTGAACATCAAGGCTCAGTTGAGATCCTTGGTTGGCAATACACTGTGTATATTGTCACACATCATTGCTGGGAGAAGTTAGTGCTTTCCATGACTCCACCAGTAGAAGACAACTCGAAGCTTCAAGCTTGGCGATGTCCTTGTCCTTGCCTATTGCATGTCTTACCTTGCTAAATTTTCTCTATCTCCTTTTTCTGTAATACCCCATAACTGTGAGCATAACAGATTTTAGTAAATTATGTGAGTTCATCTAGCAAATTATTCAACCTGAGTGTAGTCGTGGGGAATCCCCCTGCCCTGAAATTTCAGTTGATGTCAGAGTGAGGGTCATCTTGGGAACTCCTGAATTCTGTAGAGGAGCTATTATTATTTCCACTTTAAAGTAGAACATTAGT